CCTTCCGTACAGGTAGATTTTTACGTCTACAAATTGTTATTGTGATATGTACATCTTTATTAACTTTTTTCTTGCTTTTTCCTAGCAAAACATAATAATTGGAGTAATATTCGTACTTCAAATTGTTGAGATCGATTTTGGCTCTGGCGACATCTCTCAGCTCATCCAGCAGTCTGCCTCACTTTGCTTCATAATTTTTCAGGTGCAACTTTCATTTTCTTTAATTTGTGCTTTAGTATGATACTAATATATATTATATAATATTGAATACTTAATTCTGTATTATTTTCATTATTCTTTCATATTGTAGATTAATATATGATATGAGCGCCCACTCACTCAAATTCTAACATGGTATCAGAGCCAACCCCATGTGAGCTGAGTGATTGACCAGCGGTGGGCTGCCAAACTACCTCCATTCATAGGCAAGTGGACCATATGGGCTTGACCGTGAGGGGGAGTGTTGGAGATCTCATATCGACTAGGCACACTCAAGCCAATGGGTTTATAAGAGTGGGCAATCCTCCTACTCAATAAGGCCTTTTGGGTGAGGAGTTAGACCCAACTCAAATTCTAACACACTTCACTTAATTTTTCTATTTGGTCTCTTACATTTTTATTTACCACTTAATTTTTATTTTTTAAGAATTTTCTTTCATTAATTAATATAAACCTGTTGAGTATTCATTATTTATTTCATAACAGCATTAACAAAATCTAGGGGGCTTTTTTTATTATGAAAGTACTTATCAAAATAATTAATTTAAAAAAGTGTAAACTCACATTATTTTTACAATATTAAAGCATGCATTAATAGATTTAGAGAAATGCTAGATGTAAGTTTTTGTACAAAGTGATGTGGTAGCTGCCACACCACCAATGGCAGCTGCCACATCACTTTGTACCAAGATACTTTGTAAGAGTCTTTGTACATTTAGCGTTTTTCATAGATTTATTATGTTCGTCAAACAAATTATGTAACATCCTAAACGAAATGTGAATGCTATGAGACATGAATTCAATTTTAAGTGATGTAATTACATCATATTTTGATTTAGTTTGTGTTGCATGTCATATTTTTTTTTTAATTTTCATAACTTGTAAAGTAAATATTTATATTTAAAATTATTTAAAAATAGGGGCAGTTAAAAAGGAAGGAGCTGTTTAAATTTAAAAAATAATACTACACGAACAATAATTTCTCATAAACTTTCTCTCACAACTCTGACGTGACAATTAGCAATTGGTTAGCTCGTAATTAATTAGTGGGACCCATGTGAGACCCATTGTGAATTGACTAATTACGAGCTACCACGTCAGGGTTGTGAGAGAGGGTTGTTGGTGTAGTATTTTTCAAATTTAAAAAAAAAAATATATATATATCTTTTTTCTAAGTACATCCTCTTGAAACTTGTTTAATTATTTGTTTGGTCTAATGATTCGAAAAAATTAAAAAAAATGAAATACTATTCAAATTTTTTAGTTATAATTAAATATTTTTATTATTTGAAAATTTATTTGGTACGATATTGTTTTTAGATTAAAAACCATTAAAAATTTTAAAAAATGACTGAAAAACGGTTTTCTAATTTTAGGCTAGTTTTCAAGATCTTATTCAAAAATAGTTTTCGAAAACATTTTAATTCCATTCAATCAATGATGTTTTCATAACATAGGATTATCACTGAGATAGATTACCTTGAAGATTAATAAGAGAATGTTATATCAATATGTTTGGCTAGATTGGTAAGTAGAAATAATTAATATGTTTGGTTGGGAGGAATAAAATATTAAAGGAGTGGTTTTTTACATAATTGCTTTTCCTTTTTAATATTAATAATATTATTATTATTTAGAGCATTACTTTTAACCCCTTATATTTGAGAATTTAGCTAAAACACCCTAACAACAAAAGTTTAAAATTTAACACAATGCACCTAGCCACCTAAGACAACTGTTGACTGTCAACCACCACAGTTGGCATTCGTCAAAACAACGCATGACCAACTAGATCTGGTCGGTCGTACATCGATCTGGTTGTTTTCGACCAGATCGAAGGCTAGAAGCGGCAAGATCCATTTTGGTCATTAATGTCCAAATATATGGGCATTAATGGCTATGCATCTGGCTAAAAATTGTCAGATCTATTTTGGCCATTAACGGTCAAATCTGTGGTCGTTTATAAATAGCAAAATGCATGGCCATCTGGCCATTTTCGGCCTTTTGGCCAAATCGGCGCCTGGTCGACCAGATCTGGCCGGTTGTGCGCCGTTCCTGTGGCGGCCTACAGCTGTGGCTGATAGTCAACAATCGTTTTGGATGGCTAGGGGTATTTTGGGTATTATTCATGTAAATAGTGAAGATATTTCTATCTAAAAAAATAATATTTTGAGGTTACAAAAGTCATTTCGCACATTTGGACTAATTGTTATTTAGTAGACATATGAGGACATTTGTGTCCAAAATGTTTATTAATTAAGGATAAAATTGATATGAATAGTAGATCATCCCGATAATAAAAAAATAGCATCTTTTCAGATGGTAATCAAATTACCTCCTATATTACCTACAATAATCCCTATTGGTATTGGTCAATTACTAGAATATTTTATTATTTGACATCCAAACATTGTAATTGTCAGATTAAAAGATAGATTATTAGTGTTATTTTTTATGACCCCAAACCAAATGCTCAGTTCATGTTATATGATTTTATTAACATTGTTTTGTAGTCTCTGGTGTTATTTTTTTAGTTTAACATTGATTAATGATTATCACGTAACAAATCAGGTTTTGTTTTTGTTTTATTTTTTTTTTTTGCAAAAAACGAGACTTTATATAATAATATAAATTTCTGACGCCGGTTTATAACATCTTATGAAAGGTAGAGAGTTGCTTATTCATGTTTTCCATCATAGGTTTACATGTATTTAAAGTCTCAAACTGGAGAAAATTGATTAATTTATTTTTACTGTCGAGAGCTATATCCACTTTACAGTGAGAATTTTACTATAAAAAAAAAGAAAATTACAAGAGTATTACAAAGTCACAAATTGGCTTTCCACTAAATCTCTTTTAGTGGTCCCACTCTCTAATTGTGGTTTGTCCTCTTGGTAGTCTTTGTATTATGGTAATTTCATAAACACCCTTTGAACACAGAAAGAAAAACACTTGCCCCCCCCCCCCCCCCCCCCATCAACTTTAAATTAAAACTACAATATGTGATGCCTTCCTGTAGTTTAGTCCTTAAGTTGGACGATTGACTGGAGTTACCTTTTGAAAAGACCATATTACCCTGAAGATTATTAGATAAATATTTTTAATTTCAATATTTCTTCATTTGGGTAAAAAACATAAAAAAGATCTTTAAGAGTATGATTTTTTTTTTTTTTTTTGTAAAAAAAATGTCTTCTAAAATATCAGTGAAGAAAACTTTTAAAAATCTAAAGAAAATTTAAATATTAAAAAAATATCAAATTTTTATTTTCAAAAATATTGTTTGTATAAAGGGTCCGTTTGGTATTGTTTCTTCGGATAGAGTTAGGAATTAGAGTTTATAGAAATAGAATTTTTGATAACAGAGTTTTATAAAAAATGTTTTCAAAATATTTTCATATGTACATAACCAAGAAAACAGTGAATTTTTTATAAATTCTAATTCCATCTACTATAATCAATATATACTTTAATTAAAGAAACAGTATCAAACCGACCCTATAAATGAGGAATGAAAATGTGCAGCTTCAAGTGTATATAGATTTTCAAGGCCAGCCATTCCAATATATATCACCAAACTTAATGTAAACACAAGCAGATAAGCAGGTATCCACTTATCATTTTTCAACCCCACACCTTACTTTTATACTTTACCAACTTTTCCCTGATTAATTGATAATTGTTCATTAAATACGTACACTTTGATGGTTAATTGAGAGAACGAAGTTAAAAGATAAATTTCCCCTTAACGTCAATTCAACGATTCTTTTATTTATTGAATTGTATAAATAAGAAACATTAGTTATTAGGTAGTGTGAGAATTTTTAAGTCAAAAAATTGAATTTACAATATCTCTACCACATATAATTATACATGTATACAACAAAAAGAAAAAATTGTCCAATATAAAAAAGTTAGAAGAAGATTTGAAAAACCAAAGGGTGTCTATGAAACTCTTGCAGAAAAAGAAAAAGAAGAATGTGATGTAACGTAGCAAATTGCAACACCACCCTTCACCTTCAGTCAAAAAGAAGGATTCTAAAGGAGGATTGAATATCTTCTTTAATAGTGCTTTAGAATGGAGTTTAAATTACGCAAAGGATAACTAAAGGAGAAAAAGAAATTAAAAAGAAACCAAAAATCATGTACCTTTCATTCGAAATCCACAAACTAATCTGGATTTGGATAAAAAGAACTATTCTAAATATGGAAAGAAGAGACAAATAGAGATTAATCTATATAATATATGTAATGCATGTCTATAATATAATTGTGCTTAGGTTCTTTACTTTCATCTTTGAGCTTGGGATGATATTTTATAATAAAGTTATTAACACAAGAAAGATCCATACTACAAATATCATCTCATTCGCAGTTATTACATTTTCAATCTATTTAATCCTGTAAACGACCTTGAAACATTCACTCTATCGAATATCGACAACCATTTGTTAATTCACAAATCAACCAGCTGCTCCATTTGCTTCATAAGTTTCAGGTGCAACTTATCCTCTTCTTTAATTTTTATTATCATCTTGTATTGTGGAATTATTGGATCTCTTGTATTTGCACTAGTCTTTTTATTTCTAGTCCTCATGGTAGTAGTCTTTAATTAATTCTGTAAAAGGAATTATCATGTTGCCCATATCTACCAAACACATTTTCATAAGTTTTTTTTATCCTTTATTTAAAAAAAAAAATTCTTTCTCATATTCACATTTCACTGTTTATATATATGACTCTCTGTTATCCTGTCGTTGTACTTCAGATTTGTAAAAAGAGCCTCCAAACATTGATTGCGACAAGTTGTTAATTTGACACCCAAAATCAACCGGCTGCTCCATTTGCTTCACAAGTTTCAGGTGCGAACTTATCTTCTTATTCATTAATCTTTATTATCATCTTGTATTGGATCTCTCTTTAGTTTGAACTAGTGCTGTTTTTTGTTTCTAGCTAGTTACTAATTGGTAGTCTTTTGTGTTATGGTGATTTGCATAAACAGCCTTTGAAACACAGAAAATACACACTTGACCCCCTTAAAATAAACACAGAAAAATGAAACATACCCTTTTGGAATATTTGACTATATGTTATCAAGTCATTATGTTTCATTAAAAAGGATTTACCTTTATTTAACCAGCATGCATCCAAGAACCTTATCCATTTTCATGAAAGTTAGTTTGTGTTGATGATGAAGAAATGCTATTCTAGATAGTTGCATATTAAGACATTGACACAATTGAATATTCCCTTAGAAATTATATGTTTTAAAGAGCTTAGTGAAGTAATCTGTATGTTGATGATGAGTTTTGCTATTTATAAACGCTATTTATTTGAAGAATGCTTTTATTTAATACAAGAATATTTTCATATGTATTTAATTACTACCTATGGCCCTATGAACTTTTGCATTACTAAACTATATATATTTTAAAGAAAAAAAGTGTATTTTTAATTTAAAAAATTAATAGTGTTTTTCAAACCACCAGACAAAGTAGCCATCCCCTAGGGTTCAATATATGACTCTACATATTATAGATATGGCCCATTGCATGCTCATGTCGACAGATTTGGTTTTCCCCATAGAAACTAGTTTGGTTTAGTTTTATAATGATAGTTAAATAATGAAATGAGTTGATACTGTTGTGGGTATTCAATCGGATGCTAGCAAATTCTAAATCTCATAAAAGCGAAAATAAAGCGAACAAATGAGAAATAAATAAACCAGACACACAAACACAAGATTTATAATAATTTACTCTTTGTATGAGAGTTATATCCACTTTATAGCTGCAGAATTTTACTATAAAGAAAAAGAAAAATTACAAGAGTATCTTACAAATGTCACAAATTGGCTATCTCACTAAATCTCTTTTTAGTGGCTCACACTCTCTAATTGTGGTTTGTCCTCTTAGTAGTCTTTTGTATTATGGTAATTTCATGAACACCCTTTGAAACATAGAAATAAACACTTGACCCCCCATCAACTTTAAATTAAAACTACAAATGTGATGCCTTCCTGTTAGTTTTAGTCCTTAAGTTGGACGATTGACTGGAGTTACCTTTTGAAAAGACCATATTACCCCTGAAGATTTATTAGATAAATATTTTTAATTTCAATATTTCTTCATTTTGGTAAAAAACATAAAAAAGATCTTTAAGAGTATGATTTTTTTTTTTTTTGTAAAAAAAATGTCTTCTAAAATATCAATTGAAGAAAACTTTTAAAAATCTAAAGAAAATTTAAATATTAAAAAAATATGAAATTTTTATTTTTTATTTTCAAAATATTTTAAAAAAAATCTTAAAAAATTGATAAAAATTGATTAGGATTATGACTGAGATAGATTACCTTGAAGATTAATAAGGGAATGTTATATCAATATGTTTGGCTAGATTGGTAAGTAGAAATAATTAATATGTTTGGTTGGGAGGAATAAAATATTAAAGGAGTGGTTTTTTACCGAATTGCTTTTCCTTTTTACTATTATTATTATTTAGAGCATTATTTTTAACCCCTTATATTTGAGAATTTAGCTAAAACACCCTAACAACAGAAGTTTAGTTTAAAATTTAACACAATGCACCTAGCCACCTAAGACAACTGTTGACTGTCAGCCACCACAGTTGGCATCCATTGAAACAACGCATGACCAACTAGATCTGGCCGGTCGTACACCGATCTGGTTGTTTTAGACCAGATCGAAGGCCAGAAACGGTAAGATCCATTTTGGCCATTAATGTCCAAATATATGGGCATTAATGGCTGTGCATTTGGCTAAAAATGGTCAGATCTATTTTAGCCATTAACGGTCAAATCTGTGGTTGTTTACAAATAGCAAAATCCATGGCCATCTGGCCATTTTCGGCCTTTTGGCCAAATCGGCGCGTGGTCGACCAAATCTGGCCGGTTGTGTGCCGTTCCTATGGCTGCCTACAGCTGTGGCTGACAGTCGATAATCGTTTTGGATGGCTAGGGGTATTTTGGGTATTATTCATGTAAATAGTGAAGGTATTTCTATCTAAAAAAATAATATTTTGAGGTTACAAAAGTCATTTCGCACGTTTGGACTAATTGTTATTTAGTAGACATATGAGGACATTTGTGTCCAAAATGTTTATTAATTAAGGGTAAAATTGATATGAATAGTAGATCATCTCGATAATAAAAAAATAGTATCATTTCAAATGGTAATCAAATTACCTCCTATATTACCTATAGTAATCTCTATTGGTATTGGTCAATTACTAGAATATTTTATTATCTGACATCTAAACGTTGTAATTGTCAGATTAAAAGATAGATTATTAGTGTTATTTTTTATGACCCCAAACTGAATGCTCAGTTCATGTTATATGATTTTATTAACATTGTTTTGTAGTCTCTGGTGTTATTTTTTTAGTTTAACATTGATTAATGATTATCACGTAACAAATCAGGTTTTGTTTTTGTTTTATTTTTTTTTTTTGCAAAAAACGAGACTTTATATAATAATATAAATTTCTGACGCCGGTTTATAACATCTTATGAAAGGTAGAGAGTTGCTTATTCATGTTTTCCATCATAGGTTTACATGTATTTAAAGTCTCAAACTGGAGAAAATTGATTAATTTATTTTTAGGAAAGAGAATTATATGGTAAATTATGAAAATGTTTTATGAGATAAAATAAATGCGAATGTCTGCCGTTTCAAGTTGTGAAGTTTCGTAGCTATTGTTTTGAGGCAGATTGTTTTCCTTAGGAATATTTTCATAGCTATTTTGACAAGTTTTTTAAACCAAGTTAAAAAAGGTTCTTAAATAATGTGAATTAAAAATTATTCATTTTACTTGATTATTTTTTCTTAAAGTTATATCAGTAAAATGTCATATTGAAAGAAGAGAAATAATAATTAGAGATGATCTCATTATTCACACTCCACTAATGTTACATTAAATTCTCGCTGTATTTCCCTGTTAACTTTTCTAACCCTCCAAACTCTGATTTATACAATTCAAATTACATCGATTTGTTGATTTGGCTGGCAAAATTGCTGGCTGCACTTCAGATCAATCTACCTTCATTTGGTTGATAAGTTTTCAGGTGCAACTTTTCCTATTCCTTTTGTTGTTGATTTTCCTATATATATATATACACACACACATCTTTTTTGCATGTAAGGGTTAACTTTCACTTCAATTCTTAAATACACAAGAATTGATCAAATAGATGACATAATGAATACTATTACGAAAATGGTAAATCATTTGATATGTAAAATGTTAGTATTTTTTTCCTCTGAATAGAGTATCCATCTTGTTCATACCATAACTTCTGCATTCTCACGTCCGTACTTAGTAAGCATATCGATTTTTGTTTTCTCAGATAGAGAGCTAGCCATGAAACCTCCAGTTTTAGGAAATTTTATTTCGAGCGGAATTGATGAAGTTAGAGGGCTGGTTTTGCTGAGCTTTTTTTTACAAATATTGCTCATCATATTTGGTTCTAAACGAAAATACATTGCGAGAACTTGGATAACGGTCCTTATTTGGTCAACATACATGACGGCGGATCCGGTGGCAACTTTTGCTCTAGGCAACATTGCTCGAAGCCCAGGAGATTCTACAGGTAATAATTCTTCAAAATCAATGGAACTCGAAGCATTTTGGGCGCCATTCCTTCTCTTGCATCTTGGTGGCCCAGATACTATCACTTCTTACTCAAGAGAAGACAACGAGTTGTGGTCAAGGCGCCTTCTTGAGTTTCTTTTTCAAGTTGTAACAGCAATTTATGTATTTATGCGGTCCTTGAGAAAACACCCTCTCTCACTTTTAGCTATTCCTATGTTGATCACTGGAATTCTCAAGTATGGAGAGAGGACTTTGGTGCTCAAGCTTTCAAGTGCCAAAAAACTTAAAGATTCTTTGTACCCGGCTCCCGATCCTGGTCCAGATATTCTTGGACGTGATACAGTACTCGACATGGATAGTGTTACACAAATGGGGACAAGCACTGATTTGGTACCAGTAAGAATTGAAAAAAGTGAATGCAGCAACCCCAAAGACGATTATTTGGCTTCTCATTTTTTGTTCAAGAGATTTAGGTATCTCTTTGCCGACTTAGTTCTTGGTTATCACGAACAAAAGGAGAGCTATGACATAATTCGTATGAGGTCAGCAGCAGAAGCCTTCAAATTGGTGGCAACAGAGCTTGGATTCATGTATGATGTGCTCTACACCAAGGCAACCATAGTTTATTCCAAATTCGGTATCCTTCTTCGTTGCATCTACCTCTTCTCTCATATTTTTGTATCAATTTTCTTCTTAATCATCATTCATAAGCATGCCTATCCAACAATAGACATCTGCATAACTTGTGTACTCCTATTTGGGGCTGTTGTTCTGGAGATCTTTTCATTCATCGCACTAGTTCTTTTCTCCGACTGGTCAAAACTTTGGTGGCCCAATGTCACTGAAGCTTATAATCAAAACAATTTCACACGCAAAATCATAATTTTGAAAAAAAAAAAAAAACTCACCCATTCTTCAACAAACCGACACAGAAACCCAACAAGAAACAACAAAAGCCAACAACCTTACAACACAAAACTAAAAACAAAGCAATATCTTACATCATTCAACGTAAATAATAAAAAAAAAAAAAAAATTTCCAGAAGACAAGATTTTTACCTGCGCTGCAGCACATTTTTTTCTCTAATTTCTCCTCCCTCGCTCTCTCTTTCCCCTTTTTTTCCTAACTTTATTTAATTAGAATAATGATATAAAAAAGTTTAAAAAGAGAAGGACATAAACAAATGAAAAATACTATGTTTACAACCTAATCTCACAACCCTAACGTGTCACCATATTGATAGTGTCATGTTTGCTCCCACCACACCCAAAGCACCCAAGACACTATGAGAAACAAAAGATCGTTCCTTCATAATGAACGGCTTAGAAGGAACTGCCGTTCCTTATGAAGGAACAACCATGATTGTTCCTTACCTTGTTTCTCTCTCAGACCCTCTATCAATACCCTTATTCAATTTCGTTATTCTTCTTCTTCTTCTTTGGAACAACCTTGTTCCTAAGGGATCTTCTTCTTCTTCTTGGAACAACGTTGCCCAAATGCAAGATCATTAGCAAATACTTATCAGATTACATGTTGTATCTGTTAATCATTTGTCCAAATATGTTGCCCAAAGGACTTGATATAAAGATACATGAGCTGAGGTTGTAAGATTTTTCAAAAAAGTGTTTCTAGAACATCTCATAGAAGTGATAAATCCTCTAAAATAAGAAAAGCTTGTTGAAGCATTCTTTAGGTCAACACCAGTTCCTCACTAGAAATAAGAAAGGATATAAAAGTAAGTTCTATTTTTTGGATGTAGGCTTCCTAAGCAATTGCAAGTATTGGAATTCGACGAGGATGGTATGAATAATATTGAAGAAAAATGGGAGATGATAAGTGAATTTTGCGTGGAAATGTTGGCATATGTTGGAAGTCATTGTGAATGGAAAGAACACGTTCAACAACTTAGGAAAGGTGGAGAGTTGATCACTCACGTATCCTTCTTATGACACATCTCGGTTTAAGTGAAAAATATCAAGTCACATTACGCTACTTTATTTCGAAAGTTAATGAATGAAATGTAAGATATAAAAATTATTTTTTAATGAAATAACCATATGTTAATGAATGATACTGTTCACTTAAGCCCAGATGTGTCATAAGAAGACATATATGATTGAGCAACTCTCCACCTTTAATAAGTTGTTTCACATGGTTTTTCCATCCACGATTAGTTGCACCATATGTCAACATTTCTATCCATAATTCAGTTACCATCTTCCATAATCGTTCATGGCTCCAACCATATCAGCTAGATTTCAGTTCTTGCAATTGCTTCGCTAGTCCACTTTCATAATATAGCATAGATAAACTTTTTACCCGCCTAATTTTTTGCGCTTGCATCAAGTACGTGGCTCAAATCAAGCATTACACTGGCTTCACTTTTTTAACTAGTAGACATATTTAGCCACTTCATTTTTGTTGCATGAAAAATCAAAACATCCGCACAAGTTTCCTTGTATCTTATTCCACCAATATCCCTTTAGGCAACATGGTTGGACATATATGACTAAAAGATACAACTTGTAATTTGACAACCATTTGCTAATTGTACAATCTATAGGAATTTCATTATCATTTGCATGGTCACCATAATCAGCATGATAGCATAAGTCAGTGGCAATGTGTCAAAATAGAAGACTTTGATCAAAATCTACCTCAATTGTACTCCAACAAAATTCATCAACACAACATTTTGGCCAGCGCTTTATGACCTCTCTCAGCTAACAGATCTTTGCATAGCTTGGATCAAAACGGTTTTCTTCAATTGTCTTGCTTGTGGTCCCTTGAAAATAATAGAAAAAAGTAATTTGAGTTACTTAACTAACATTTTATGGAAGGGGCATACCGCTTTTCCTTCTTGTCCTCGATCAATGTTGCCCCTGCACTTGAGTCCATAGATACAGAAACGGAAGCCCTGTATTCAAACATCACATTCTTCCTGTCGATTTTATTTTTCAAGGCAAAATATTACAATTTAAATGCTATTAAAAGAGACTCCAACATGAATACAAAGGCCCAAACCTGCATATTGCTTGAATTTATAATTGCAACATCTCCTTGAGTTGTCTGTCTACATGTCAACCAATCACAAGGTGAGAAGATAAAAGTTCTCATGTTAATGTACACAAAATGTCTTCATGCAGTAAAAGCTAACAAAAGTTTATGCATAGGGAGGAGCTTGCCATCGGCTGAAACATTAAAGGAAAAAAAAGGCTCCTGGCAACTTGCATCAACCGTATCCATTTCCAAGAGCTGGTGTTCCATGTCACAACAGTTCCACCCTTGTCTATGTAAAATATAAAAGTTAATGATGGTTAGCTCATAAAACAGTAAAGTGGATAAAAGCATTTTTAGCAAGAAAAAGGATGGATGGCTTCTGAATACTGAAAATTCACCTGCTATTGCAGCAGTGTAAATAAGACAATTCTGATCACTAGATGGAGAGAATCTATAGCAGGCCAAAACTCATCCTGTATGAATTTAAAAATGCGTGTAGTTAATTTGGAGCCCATGTAAAAGAGAATCAACTCCAATAAACAAAAATAAAGGCCAAACAAGAGAAGGCTTGAAGATTTTCCTAAAAGAGAATCTCTCTATTCTGTAAGGATCAAGTAGACATAAGTTCATGATACTTCTTGCTGTTGTTCAGATAGGAGCAACTATTAATAATATGATCTGCTTCTGGCCGTTGTTTTTTAAGAAAAAAACATAATAGTGAACAACAATATGCACCACGACACATTTAGCAACAATTTCATTAGATCTCCTCAACATGACGCAGCTTCATTAAATTGACCAAGATTGAGCTATGCCACCAAAAGCTAAGAAAACAAATGGTTTACATAATATATTTATATGGCATTGCTTACATTTTCCTTTGGTAGAGAAGCTACAACAGATGTGGAGGTTACATCTCAAGCCCTACCAGGGCCACGATTTCCCAAGGAGACAAGAAATTTTCAATTAGGGCTGCAAGAGAACCAAGCCAAGTCGTCAGTAGAACTCGATAAACAATAACAAAACAGTGAATTCATTTTCTTTTCATCGAGCTTGCAGGTTAAGGCATTGACACTTTAATTAATTTCTTAACAGAAGTATGACCTTCAGACACGTTAAGAACAATTCCCAAGCTAGGCCACTTTAAAACCCGTAATTTTCCATCCTGCACTGCACCAAAATCTAAGCATCTTATACCATGTTATTGTGTTAGAAAAAGACAACAATGTGGTCTTACTTATCATTTCACCACACCATAACTAAAGCCAAAACCATAGAATTCATTTAGAGAATCATTAAGATCTAGGTACGAAATACTTGGGGTTTGAACTATAGGTGGGCATTCATATCTGAGATCCAGGTACGAAATACTTGGGGTTTGAATTATAGGTGGGCATTCATATTTGTTTCTGGAATAAAGAGTCATGAAGCATAGCTTATCCCAATAAACAATAGATTAAATCTTCCTTCTAGCTATGGTTCACCAATAGGAAAGACTAGAAAGAACAGTAGACATTTGAGGTAGACATATTACAAGGCTCTTGGGCGTGTATCTACCCTATGGAGTAGAAAAGGGTGAAGCATACCAAAATGATAAAGGGAAAAGAAAACCCTAAAGTCCATGCAGGAAATGTATCTCACAAGAAAAGGGGTAGGATCCTACCCCACTACCGGCAGCAAGAACAGAACCCTTATAATATAAACTAATTTATAATTCATATTGTTTAATACAACCAAACTTCGAGAGATAGTATTGAAGTAAATTTCAAATGCTTTTGAGACCAAATTCCTTCACAAGAAGCTATATAATTTGAGAATAAATGGAACATTGAAGAGGAAGACTCAACAGAACATTATTTAACATGCAACGAAATGAAATCTTCTACTGGGTTCCAATAATTTGTGGTGAACCCAAATAGGGATAGTTAGATCATCTATTTGTGATCCAAAAACCATTTTCAAAAACTAAGATACAATTCATATTTTCCAAATCTGAAACACGTTTGACAGTTCAAAACTGTTTTTTTTTTGGGTAAATTCAAATAGTATAAAGAATGAAAGAATGAGACCCCAAAAAGAGAGTCTCTACAAGAGTTTATGCGTCCTGGACCTTCCCAGGAACCAAACAAAAAACAGTAGTAGCAAAAATACAAGCATTTACAATCCTGAAAACCAGTATAGGAGGATCAAGGAGATTCAGAGACTGTTATCAGTAATATTGAAAAATTAGTGACATCGCCAGAATAGAGAAAGGTAATTTCTGTAAATTAAGACCAAAAAAAAAAAGTGAAAATGTAAAGTTCAATCCACAATGTCTTGAGAAAAGTAAATCAGTATATTAAGTCAACAATGTACCTATAACCAAATACAAGACATATAAACGGGATAAAGAGTTCCAAACATCTAAATCATAACTCATTGAACACAAAAATCAACAGGATTTTCAGGATCTACAGTATCAAACACCTCAAATGTGAAAGGTCTTACTTTAATACTGTTTGCTGGTGCCCATCTGGGATTGCAAACAGAACAACAGGCTTTGAAGGTCTAGTGAATGGGACATCACATCTATAGTAGTCCTTCCTCTCCAGCTGCAAAATCTCTCCATGTTTTAGATTCCGCATGTTACAATCTCCAATTGCTGGAGTCTCAATCTTTGTCCATGGGTTGAGCACATCAAGGAAGTCCTCCCCTTCTGCGAGCTGCATCCACAATGGTAACAAACATGAATCAATATGTCAATTCATTTTTAGCACACTAGCTAAAACAAGTATATTTATGGATTATATGACGAATAATACAAATAATTAGATTAACTAATAACTTCACATTAATACAAAAATACTGCAGGATTATAGAGTTTATAAAAACAAAAATAACGCAATGAAAAGTTCTGATTATCAGTTTATTAATTGTACCTTCTTCTTCGTGATTAAAGGGTCAAATCCCATCAATTTGAGGTTAAATAATTCATTTGTTTCAAGTTTCGAATGTCAGCTTCAACTTTGTGGTCTCGACGATTCCTTCAAGCTGCAAAATACATGTTAGATGTGTGACGTTCCCACCTGGGTCTCTACTTATTTCCTTCACTATGACATTCCCAATCCATTTAGCCAATTTACTCATCTACTAAGATGGATATGGCATCAGCTTGGTCTATCCATATCCTCCTTGTGTATGTTGTAGCTTTCTCTCTAGAACCATCATATTTCTTATGGCTAGGAATGATGTGAACAAATGGTTCAGCAGGACCATTGATAAGGATCAGAAGCACACGTCTCTCTTCAATTGGAACAATGTGTCTAGGACACACAGGATAAATAATCTTCTTATTTATAGTACAAAGTTTGTCCCATTCCATGAGATTGAGATTTTTCAAATACCCCTGGAAAAAGAAAAAGGAAAAGGAAATTAGTATTCGTATTAAACAAACTATAATCATCTACCAGCACAACATTAATACATAACAGAAATTTCTTTACCTGTTCAAGTATAAACTGTGTCAAAGCCTCAACCTTCAGACCCTTCGCATTATTCTGATAGAAAACCAAGTACCCAGTTGGATTCTGGAGGGGTATTGAGGGCATTAAGAAGGTTGTCACACAAGTGTACGTGATGAGGAAGAAAGGAACAATTAGATCGAGTGCTGAGCTGGGGGTTGTTACCAGAATGAGCCACGTGGCACCATCAAAGGGGAACAGTTTGTTAGGACAACTGGGCTAGAAGGAATAAATTGTGGGAACTTCTGTAATGGGATAAAGAATGATTAGTGGTGTATTACTGGGAGGTTCCTAACACCTCGAATGGCTAGAGTTATCTTTTTGCTTAAACTTTTCTTTCGTTTTGATCCTTACCGATTGTATTGCTATTGTATTGCTTCTTATATATCAGTAAATCAATACAGAAATATAGAGAGTTCATTCACTATTGTTTGCATTTAGTTTGATTA